GAGGGAGGGTGGAAGAGGAGGGAGAGGAGATAAGGGGAGGGAGGAGGAGAACATGAGGGAACTAGATGGTCGAGATGGGGGAAGAAAAGAGAGGGAGAGCAAGGAAAGAGATATCTTGGTTGTAGGAACCATCATAGGGTTAGTGTGAAACCTCTCACCAGGAATTCCTAGTAATCCACAAAGATGACCCCAGCCAAGATCCTAAGCAATTGTGAAGAGGATGCCTGAAGTGGTCTTCCCCTGTAATCAGATTGATGACTATCTTAATTGTCATCATAGAACCTTCAACCAGCAACTAATGGAAGCAGATACAGAGATCCATAGCTAAGCACTGGACTGAGCTTCTGGAGACCAGTCAAAGAGAGGGAGGAGCAATATTATGAGCAAAGGGATCAAGACCCTAATGGGAATACCCACAGAAACAGCTGACCTGAGCTAGTGTGAGATCACAGCCTCTGGACTGACAGTGGGGGAACCTGCCGAAGATCAAACTAGACCCTCTGAATGTGGGTGCCAGTTGTGTGGCTTGGGTAGTTCGTGAAGCCACTGGCAGTGGGACCAGGATTTATCCCTAGTGTTTGAACTGGCATTTTGGAGCCCATTCTTTTTGGAGGGATGTCTTGCTCCACCTAAATATAGGGGAGAGGTTCTTGGTGCTTCCTCAAAGTGATGCACCACACTTTGTTGACCCCCCCATGGGAAGCCTTCCTCTCCGAGGAGTGGATTGGGGGTGAGGTGGGGGGAAGATAGGGGGAGAGAGAAGAAAGGAAGTAGTGGGAACTGAGATAGGTATGTAAAATTAGAAAAGATCATTTTTAAAAATAAGTTAATTAATAAAAAAAAAAGAAATCATCTAACTGGGGGCTTTCTTACAGTTTCAGAGGCTTAGTCTACTTCGTCATGGCAGGAAGCATGGTGGCACAAATAACCCTGGAGCCGTGGTTGAGAGCTGCTTCCTGATCTGCAGGTAGAGAGAGACACTGGACCTGGTGTGGATGTTTGAAACCTTGAAGCCCATCCCCCAGTGACATGCTTCCTCCAACTAGGCCACACCATAGTAAGCTTCCTTGTCAGACTTTCTGGAACCGTCAGCCTGCAAATAATGACATGGAGATTTATAATTAATTACGAAATCTTGCCCTTTTGCTTAGTCTTGTTCCCAACTAGCTCTTATAACTTAAATGAACCTGCTTCTATTAATCTCTGTTCCGCCACATGACTTTTACCTCTCCTCCATTCTGTACGTCTGACTTGCTCTGCATCTCGCTGGCATCCCTGCTTCTCTTCCTCCCAGCGTCCTCTCTCCCCAGATGTCCTGCTGTTCTCTCCTGCCTAGTTATTGACCATTTAGCTCTTTATTAACCCAGTCAGAAGGAGCCTTAGGCATAGACACATCTTCACAGTGTAAGTAAATATTTCACACCACCATACCTCCGAATACTTTCAAATAGTGTCATTCTTTGATGACGAAGCATTCAAATATTGATATATTTGAATGGCCTGTTGGAGGCCATTCTTATTCAAACCACCACAACTGGGGAGACAGAGGTTCTAAAATGAGGATTCAGGTAAGTAGATCAAAAGTGATCCTCCCCCAAGAATGGCCAATGACCTGGCAGAGTAAAAGTCCAATGCCCTACCTCACTACCCTGTCCCATAAAGTCCACAGCTGATACTATGCCCACACCCAGCCAACAGTGTTTATAATTCTTGGCTGTCCTCTGAACTTCTGGCCAGCTCCCACCTGGAACATTTCTATAAATCTTTGATAGTCATCCCGGCCGTCACCTCTAAGAAGCCATTCCCAATTCCCTTCACTGTTCCATCCGACCCAGATGACTCACGCTTCCAAGATCCTTTGTGCCCCCCAGTGTTTTCATGACGCTGCTTCATCTAGTTTGGAAGCTCCTGGATGGCTTCGCTTTCACATCTCTGTTATCTTCCTGCCGCAGGTCTTAGATGCTCAACCTGACGTGGGTAAAGAGAGTCAGAAATGACACAGGGACAGACTGGGCTAAAATTTCTTCCGCCTATTGCTTTAAGGAATTTCCCAAGTTTAGAGAACTTATTCTGCACATTCAAAACCTTTCCCCATCTCTAGGACTACACAACACCATGGAGATCTGATAATCCCTCAGCTTCCCTCACTCTCCTCACACCTGACTCATCTTCCCTCTCACCTGCCTCGCTGCTTCTGCTCCCTCAGTGGCTACTGTGTTCTAGGATATTTGTTCTGGCTTTTCTAAAAAACTAAATCATTAGTGAACCCTGGAAAATAATAACCTGTTCTTAGCAAATGCAAATATCTTGAGAAGACAGTCCCACGCCGAGGATGGGAAGAAGCCTTGCCAAGGTTGAGGTTGGTTTTACAGTTAGCAAGAGGGGGAGACTTGAAGGGAAGGGAGCTGGGAATGGGAGTGTGCGCTGCCAGAGCTGCACGTGGGTTCTAGCAGGACTTCCGTGGCTCCAGGAACTTCCACTTTAGCAAGCGTCTTCTCCTTTAAAAAACAAACAAACAAACAAACAACCCAGAAAACATATTTTTCTCTCTTGTCATAGAGACTAATTTAATACAGATTGGATTCATGATCATCTACATTTATTACTATGTCAAAAATAAAATAAACCTTAAAATATGTTCTTACGCAAGGTGGTAGTAGTGCATGCTTTCAATCCCAGTGCTCGGGAGGCAGAGGCAGGCGGATCTCTGTGAGCTTGAGGCAAGTTTGGTCTATGGAACGAGTTCCAGGACAGTTTCCAAGGTTAGACAGGGAAACCCTCCCTCAAAAAACCAAAAAATTAAAAATAGATAAATTAATTACTTAAATTAAAATATTCCCTGGATTTCCAAAATTACTGCGCTCCTTTGGCGCCGTGTTAGCTATCCCTACCGGCCCTCTCTCTTGAGCCCACCTTCCTACACGCTGTGACTTGAATGCCCACTGCCCTTCTGTCATGTTGGGTCCCACCATTCCTTCTGCCTGAAATGTCTGTCACCCACCCCAGCCCAGTCCAGCGCAGCCTTTGCCTCACTCTTTGCCCTGCCCTTCCCAGACCCTAGGTTCCGTTACAATGTCATTTTCTCTTGCAAGACTCAGCAAATTAAACTAGAGGACACCTAATTAAACTTGAATTTCAGGTAAATAACCCATGTTTTTTATTGAGTATGTTATGTTATACATCACATACCCCGATATAGGAGGAGGCACGCTTATACTAAGAAATTGTGTGCTTACCTGAATTTAACTTTAGCAGGACAGCCTGCTTGTGTTTTATCTGAGAACCCTATTCTGTGGCGTCTTTCTTTCTGCCCCTCTTCTTATCTGTTGCTCCTGTCAAGGTGCTTTCTATATATTTCTGTCACCACGTACCTCCTGGGGAGTGTTGCCGGCTGCCCCCAAGCCCCCAGTCTTCAGTCCCATCTCCATTACAATCACCTGCTGTGGTCTGGCCTTGTGGCCGGGCATGAGTAGTTATGTGTGACTAAATGTGTGTTTTCCCTTATTTCCCCAACTCTCTGTTTATTTTCAGGGATGACTTGGCGGCATTTGGTTTTAATTTCATTCAGGATGTCGTGTGGCTAAGGCTGAAGATGAGTTAACTATTGCATGGGATTACAGTAGCAAGCCTGCTAACGTGTCTCGACAAGACACTCAGGATTCAACATGTCATCACCCAGTGGAAAAAAGCCAGAGGTCCCTGGCTGAGACCCGAGTCCCTCTCTGCCATTTGTAAGGGTGGACCATGTGGTGGTGCTGGCCACGGCTCAGGTTCCCTTTTCTGGGGGATTCTGTTTCCAGAGTGAACCGGTTGTGGCTCAAACAGAAATCTGTGGAGGAGATGCTCTTTTTGGTTTCCAGTCTCAGGTTAAGAAAGTGATGGGATTAAAGACACATGCCACCATGCCCTGCAGGAGTGGACCCATTATTTTGAAAGTGATTTAAAGCCTGTTTCGCTTGGCACTCACCCTAGATTCCTTGCCCAACACTGGAGAAAACCCTCCTCAGATACGATCACAAGCCATGTGAACTTGAAGAACCTGGTGCAGGGAGATCAGCTCCTGTCTGCGGACCACACCTGTGAGGGAACTCGCTGCCAGACTGGGACAGCATGACCCTGGTGAGTGAGTCACATGGGATGGTGAAAGTTCCCCTTTTGATTTTTAAGGATTTCCCAGCTTTCAACACACTCACTCTTCTTGGTTGAACGTGGTTGAATTTCCAAAGTTGGCCACTGGTTGTTTAGTTTTTCTTGGTGAGCCAGAAACCACAATGCCCAAATATACCAAATTGTGTGTGTGTGTGTGTGTGTGTGTGTGTGTGTGTGTGTGGTCTACTCCTTTCATTCAATCCAGGATGATCTCAGGTCCTCTCTAGTCTGTTCCCACCAGAATGCAGTGAGCTACAGCTATCTGCACAGTTCCAACAATCCCGCTACTTCGCCATGGACTATCAGGGACTCTGTCTAGGCTCCTGTTTGCCTCAGGGTCTTGCATAAGTTGCTGTTTCTGCTGGGATGCTTTTGATTGGTTGACATAATTTCTTATCTTTAGTCCCAAGGTCACCTCTAAGTGGGCTCTACTGTTATTTTTGATTACAGTATTCTGCTTGCATTCTTGGTAATACCCATCATACAGGTCACTACAATATTGAATGCCGTGTCTTCCTCCAAACAAAATCTCAGTTCTCCAAGGCCAAGGATTTTCTTTTTTATCTATCTAGCTATTCACTGCCTGCCACTTTTGAATCTCCAGTGTTCTGTACGATGCCTGGCACAATGTAGGCACACCATGAATGTCTGTTGAATGAATAAATGAAGAACGATTTGCAAGCCTTCCCCCACCTGAGTAGTTACTGGTTATGAGGAGTTGATGAGCGTGGTTGTTGACCAACCATTACACTGTATGGTGGTGAAAGGCACAGCTCTCAATCAATCTCGTATGCCTGCCTGGCCCAGCCAGAGTCACTGGCATTTGAGGAAATAAATACAAAGGTACAGGAAGCAGTAGAAATGAGCTTTTATTTGTAAAAAGTTACAAAATGATATTGTACAAAAATAAAGTCTGTAGAGAACTTTGGTTGTATAACACAAACGACCGAGACAGATCAGGGAGATCAGAACTTCCAAAGAAGCGTGCTCCTTACTGTGTTAGATGGTGATTACAACAATAACGAAAAAAAATCACCAACTTTACCCTTCTGTGGACTAGGTGGAGCAGCTTGCTCCCATCAGAACCTGCTTGCAGTGTGGAGATGATGCTGAGCAGAGACTCCCCCGAGAGCTGAAGGCTGTGTCTGGACCTGGGAATATCAGCTACCATGTCTACTAGGATTCTCAGAATTGAACAGGAGATCCTGAACTACATCTCAATCATGCCAGGCAACTGAGGGCATCACCAGTTTGAGCAGCAGAGGGTGAGAGCGCAGCCTTTGCCTCCATTTCCCAGTCCGGCAGAGGGTGTGGAACCATACGTCAACTTGGGTCTTTAGGGCCATGGGTCAGGGAGGGGATGTCCAGCAACTTTTACCTCTTGGTTACTTTGAAATTTTAACCTGATTATTTGAGATAGGCCAATTGGTCCTACTTTGGGGGGTAGCAGCTATGAAGGAAGTGATTAATTAATTTCTGCATAAAATTCCATTTCTGAAATGTGTAACAAGCTCTAACATAGGACTCAAGGCAATACCTGTATGCCAGCTGCTAGACAGGTACACTATGGGGACAGTGAGAGGTGCCATTCCCCCATCTACTTCCTCCCCTCTACACAATGAGGGTGGGCCTCTTATGTCCTGTGGCCAGTCAGATGCCTCTTTCTGTCAACTTTTCTTCCTAGAACTCATTGGGTTGGAAGGGATCGCAAATGTTGAACCCAGAAGACAACAGACCTGGCAAAGGACAAGAAAGATGGCTTCTCCCTCCAAGATTCCCCATGTGCTTCTGCCTGTGTGCCCTCAGGGAGGAGGTAGGTGGGCAAGAAAGGAGGCAGAGGTGCCATCGGGCAGGGCTAAACCTTGGCTACCTGGCAGGTCCTTCATTTCACTTTTAGGTGACTGTAAGTCCAGGACGACCAAGGGGGAATTCATCCTTCTGTATATGTGGCTATGATGTCACACATGTGAAAGGGAAGAGGAGCTTGCGGCCTCTCTGCTCAGTGATGGGGCAAGGATGAAATGGAACCAAGTGGCAACGGCACTGGGACTGCCGGTGAGGGTACGGGACTGAGATACTCCTTTAACAGGGTGTAACTCAGCTGGTAGAGTCTCCTAGCCTGAATGAGGCCCTGAATTCCATGCCTAGAGCAGAGATAGGGTGAGTTGTCAGAGATCTCAACCCCACAAGAAGTCGATGGATCAGAAAGCCAAGATCATTCTCAACCAAGCAGTAAGTTCAAGGTCAGCCTAGGCCACGGGAGAGCCTGTCCACAAAAAGGGGGAAACCTGGGTCAGTTAAGGGGCTGTCTTATAAAGGTAAAGTAAGCGATTTTTTTTTGCCCAGTGGAAACCCTTTTAATACTTTGAAGAGCATGGACCCTTGTTCCCAATTAATACTTCCTTTTGTCACCTTTTTTTTTGTATTTTGTGAGCACATATACTTTGGCACCTTTGAAAAGAGACTTTAATAAATAAGGGAAGAAGAGAGAAATTCATTAGTGAATGGTAATAAATAACAATAACTTAAATCTTAATAAATATCTTTTCTATATCTCTGTATCTGAAACAGATGCATTGCATCGAGTAGCTTCTCTGGTCACTGGTGACCACGCATAAACGGAGCTGTGTATGTAACGTCAGTCTCTGTAAACCAACAGGCCCCGGGGGTCTCCCTGGCGGGGGTGGGGGGTAGCTGGGGGCCTTCCCCACTAGCTCTCCTACAAGGATGCTGCCGAAAACCACAGCTTTCTTCCTGTTCCCGAGGACATCAAGGAAATGCCTTCTGGTTTGTTTTTAAGCAGGAGGACAGCCTTTTGGGTTCCTAGCCAACTTCTCTCTACCCCATACACTGTGTTCAAATTCAACCACCAAGTGTCCCCCCACCCTCCAAACGCTGGATGTCGTCAATCTCAGGCCTCGGTTTTCAAATTCAAAGGTGATGATCTCTTTGTACCTCTGCTTTTGTTCCCCCCTCCTTCCTAGGGTATGAATCCGTTGAGTGACAGGAAAATACATCTTTCTTATTTTCATCAGAAAATGTAGTGACAAGAGGTGACACCAGAATCATCACATTTCCCTGGTGTCTTCAGACACGTGAGAAAGAACCACTGGCTTGGTTCTCTGTATGCATCGGCGACTCGGACCGCAATCGGTGACCGTGGACTGTGTCAGTTAAATGCTGGCAGCAGCTAAGCAGGGACGCCAGCCTTGAGCTTCTGGTGACACCACTGCCCTCCTGGAGTGCTCAGACGGCTGTTCTCGCTCCTATCCAGTTGTCTGTAGCTGGGCCTTCTTCTACCAGGCTCCCACGATGGATGCCTTCCTCCTTCTCTTCCTCCTCTCCCTCTTCTTCCTTCTCGCCTCTGCCTCCTTGGTCCTCATCTTCCGTTCTGGGCAAACATTTCCTGGGAACCTTGGTCCCTTTCTTCGCACTGTAGCAGGAATGCAATACACAGCAGTCTCTGGAGCCGGAGTCAGATGCATCCACACCGTTTAGCGGAATGCTTTCTTAGAATATGGTAAACCAGGTTATCGTCTAAAAATGACAGGTCGTCGTCGAACGCAACCGGTCGGCAACATGCCTGGCCTGCTTTGTCACTCACTAGTCTTCTACTTCGAGATAAGTTTTTTAGTATTTTGTCATACATTGTCTCGGCTGCATCACAGGAGCCGCTACAATACCGAAAGATCAGTTCCTCCTTGGTTTCGTAGCCTAAACCCAAGTCAGTGACATTTAAGTGTATTGCAGTTAAGACACAGCCCCGGTTTTTGCCCCTCTGGCCTCTACGACCCTTCCCTCTGGAATTCTCTGGGCTGGCGGCTGCTGTCTGTCGATTTCGCTCTCTGCGAGGAAGCACGGCCGCTTGTTTATCCGGTGACCTCTTCAGTCTCTTAATGGTGGCTTGAATAAAATCCATGACATCATCAAACTGGTCAGGATAATCTTCAGGCATATTGGCTGTTCAACAAAGCAGAAAATGTCACATGAGACAACAATGATCATTTCAGGCAGTCTTCTGAACCAAAGTGTCACTAGAACTAGCTAGAATTGTACCCCCAGCAAAGTGATCATCCGTTTATGCTAAGCGTGCAAAGGCTAAAATGTGCTGTCTAACACTTTGCAAAATATTGATGTCAAAAAGAGAAGCATGTTGACACCGTTCTTGTAGGAAACAAGACGTTAAGGGTGAGTTATTCATCTGAATGACATCTGCCAGGTTAAGCAAGTAGACAGGTGGCTGTGACCAGGGTGGCATCTAAGGTCCTGTTTCATAATCTTGAATACAACTGTCATTCAAAGAAACCCTCTCAAACCCTCTCTGAAATGCAGATTTCGGGATCTCGAACCCAGACACCTCAGTGCCCTTTTCTGGGGAGGAATGGAGGCGCCTCCATTTTCTCAAGCTGTTTCAGAATTGTGGTGTTTGCAAGTATCAAAGCAAACTGAGAAACTAGGTCTCAGAGGCTGGGGAAATGTGATGTCTTTTGACTTTGCTATGTTGCTATAAGTTTACCCTGACTCTGCCTGACTGTGTAGGGCCAGATTCACTCAGAGCAAACAACTCTTTAAAATTCAACTCTATCTTAAAACCCATCCCCCAAACCTAAGGAAACAAAAAGGCAGATTATATTTGTATTTTACTGACAAACAAATGGAACAACTCTAACAAAAAAAATAGAATGATTTAAATATAAAGGAGAGGTTGTTGGGGACAGACGCAGCCTTGGGTCCAGGGGTGAAGCCAGGTACGACTGCCACAGGGATCCCACTGTGAGGTTACAAACAGGAGAAGAGACCCAATGGAGGAAAGACAAGAGAATACCAGGATGTTTGAGACTTCTGGGGAAGCCATAGATTTACAGTCTGAGATTCTGAGTAGTTCATTTTACCTTGGATGAAGGACTAAGGAGGAAATACTCATGGAATGAGATTTAATTCACACCAAGTAGAGGGGGAACCTAGCCCCCTTTTAAATCAGGTACTAAGCTTTTATGGTCATCTCATCCCTTTCCAGGCAGTTCAGTAGGCCTTGGGTCATATGTGGCTTACAAACTGTTAAGAAGAGTCGGTGGGTTCTATCTTGGAAAGCTCAGGAAGATTACATTGTGTCTATTCTACCTCATATTATTCTATCATAAACATTACTATCTAATGGTTGAAACGTGGCAAGAATCCTGTTGTGTAAAATGAAATCCAGCTAATGGGACTTGACTGTGTGTGTGTGTGTGTGTGTGTGTGTGTGTGTGTGTGTGTGTGTGTGTGTACGTGTGCGCATGTAGCGTGCATGGGTGTATGCAAGAGGTGCTAGGTAAGTGCCTAGCTCCACTACTAGATTTTGCACACACCCTCAGTGTGATAAAAAAATAATGAAAAGACTGGGAAAACTGGAATCAAAAATACAGCGTGGTTTGTTATGTGAAAATTAGCATTGGATAGCTCACAAACTCTAAGTGACAAATTGTTTCAGTACTGACTTAAGTTTACCTCTTGCTAATCCTTTACCTGAGCTGCGTCTCTTATCCACCTCCATCTCTTTTGGGGGTGTGTGTATATATGTGTACACGTTTGTGTACAGATGTGTACAAGTATGTGGAGTCAAGAAATCAACACGTGTGTCTCCTTCAGTTGCTCTCTGTCTTATTTTGAGATATGATTCGCTAAACTTGGAACTCACAGGGCTACCCTGGCTGGCCAGCAGGACACAGGGACCCTACCATCTCCACCTCCCTCAGGCTGGGACTGCAGGCGTGTCTCTGGTCACGGGTTTTTATGAGACTGCTGGAGGTTGAACTCAGGCTCATGCCCCTTATCAGTTGAGCTAGCTTCTCAACCACCCTCCCCACTCTGCAATCTGCTTCCTAGTCAGTGGTAAGCTCTTCAACTCAGATCGCTTGCCCTGTGTGCCCAGAGTGCGGTGAAGTTTGCTGTGGCCCTCACCTAAGAGCCGAAGCCCAGACTGGCAGAAAGACTGTACCTAACCCGGCATCTGTTGTGCCCAGCCTTAGTCATCTCTGACCGCATCAGTTCATACTCACTCTCCCTTCCCGATGTTTGCTGGCATTTGAGGGACGGGGTGTTCCTTGCTTTAGGAAGCTGTCTTGTCCACATCCACAGGATGTCTAACTGAGTCCCTTGCCTCATCTGCTTAGTTCATGATGGCTAATCTAGGTTGTTACCTTGACACACTTGGGGAGAAAGACCTCAACTAGAATAATTTCCTCTATCAGTCTGGCCCGTGGGCATATCTGTGGGTCCTTTCCTTTCCTTTCCTTTCCTTTCCTTTCCTTTCCTTTCCTTTCCTTTCCTTTCCTTTCCTTTCCTTTCCTTTCCTTTCCT